TTTCTTAATGGAGACCTCGAGGAGGATGTTTATATAGACCAACCAGAGGGTTTTGAAATTAAAGAAAAAGATCAAATGGTGTGTAAACTAAAGAAGTCAATATATGGACTCAAGCAAGCCTCACGACAATGGTATATAAACTTTAGTGATACCATAACATCTTTTGGATTTAAGGAGATTACCGTTGATCGGCGTATATGCCAAAAGATCAGTGGGAGTAAGTTTATATTTTAGTCCTATATGTTGATGACATTTTACTTGCTGCTAATGATTTAGGCATATTGCGTGAGACGAAAGACTTTCTCTCTATGAACTTTGAAATGAAAGATATGGGTGAGGCATCTTATGTGATAGGGATAGAAATATTCCATGATAGATCACATGGATTATTGGACTGTCTCAAAAAGGCTATATTGAAAGAGTTCTAGAGAGATTTAACATGAACAGTTGTTCAGCAAGAATAGTTCATATTAAAAAGGGGACAAATTTAATCTCATGCAATGCCCAAAGAATGATGTAGAACGAAAGGAAATGAACTCAATTCCTTAATCTTCTATTGTTGGAAGTTTGATGTATGTTCAAACTTGCACACGACCGTATATTAGCTTTGTGGTCGGAATGTTAGGAAGATATCAAAGTAATCCTGGAATTGATCACTGGAAAAAAAAACTGCAAAGAAAGTTTGTGGCATGTTATGAAGCCACAATTCATGCATTATGGCTACAAAACTTCATTTCAGGACTTGAGATTGTCGACACCATTACCAAGTCACTGAAAATTTATTGTGATAATGCTGCAACAGTATTCTTCTCCAAGAACGATAAGTACTCCAAATGTGCCAAACATATGGAATTAAAGTACTTTACTGTTAAGGAAGAAGTTCAGAAACAAAAAGTGTTACTTGAGAATATTAGAACTGATCTCATGATTGCAGATCCGTTAACAAAGGCTTACAACCAAAGACATTTAAAGAACATGTTCAAAGAATGGGTCTTGGTTGTACTTATGATTGATACATTTATGATGTTTTAATACTCTGAGCTCAATTATGTATTCTGATATACATTATTGAATTTCTTGTTTCTCATAATGGTGTACACATTATTGTTTTGAGATATTACAAGATAAGTCTCTATGAGACATTATTGTGGACCGTAATGTTATATGTTTTTATAGCTTATGAACCTAGTATGATAAGTTGCTAATGTAGTAGTATATGGAAGGAAGTATGTAGCTTAAAATTTATGTACAACCGCCATAACTCGCATTAGTAGTTTGTTATATTGTGGTACGTATGATGGACATTATTGAAGAGATTTATTGTATGCGCAACTAATGTTTATTACATATTAATGTTATATGGTCATTGGGCCAAGTGGGAGAATGTAAGAATTATTAATAATTATTATTAATTATTTCTTACTTATGGCCCAAGTTTACTTGTAACCCAAGTAATACTATAAATAATATTTAATAAGGAATAGATCTTGTCCGTACATTGGTTACTTGATGGACGTACCAGATTAAGTCATAACCTCTATAAATTGGTCCTCCCTCCACCCATTAGGGTTATCACATATTCTCTACAATAATTTCATCGCTGACAGTTGTGGTAACATAAAGATAGGGCAAGGAGGTAGAAACCAATTTACGACTTAACGCTTCCACTTCTCTCTGTGATGATGTCTTCCGCATCAGGTATGTGCCCCTAACAATCTCTATATAAGATTATCGTGTTCAAGATCCTAAAAGTATTTAATCTTACAGCATGATGACAATATTATTGTAGAGATGGTGGAGAAGTTTGTAGAAGTGCTCATGGATACTTTTTTATTTACAGAAATTTGATTATGATAATATGTTTGCAGAACTTAGACAAGTTGTTGGAACAATGCAAAAAGAATAATTTAATGCTCAACTAAAATAGATGTCACTATTTGGTAAAGAAAGATATTGTAATGAGGAACAAGATATCCAAAGAGGTCTTAGAGGTGGAAAGAACTAAAATTGAGGTAATTAAAAAGTTGGTATCCCTTATATCTATTGGTGGAGTTCGAAGCTTTTTGGTGAATGTTAAACTCTACCATAGATTTAGCAAAAACTTCTCAAAAGTGTCAAGGCCCCCCTAAGTTGCTGAAAAAACAGCCATGTTCAATTTTAATATAAATTGTTCAGTTGCATTTGAAGAGTCAAATCGGAGATTGATGTTTTCTCCAGTTTTGATTGCACCAGAATGATCACGTCATTTAAATTAATGAATAATGTTAGTGACATAAAAATGAGCATAGTTTTTGAGTTAAAGGAGGGAGAAAATCTTCCATTCAATATACTATGACAACAAGGTGTTAGATGCAGCTCAGACTAATTATACACTGACAAAAAAAGGAGTTGTTTGCTATTGTCTTTTCATTTAACAAATTTTGATTCAATATACTAGATTTAATAAATGCAGACATAGTAAATCTCCTTGTAAGTGACGTTTATCACTTAGGATAAGCTTCCATCAGAAGAAGTCGAATCATGATGTTCAATTTTATATATGGGATGAACCATACTAATTCAATCAGGAATATCCAATAAACATTTTAGACGTTACAGTTCAAAAAATAAAATTAAACAAATATTAAAAAGTTATAACACTTTTCGTTAGAGGACATCATATGGTGATCGGACAGCTGGAAAAATATCACAATTTGATTATTTTTTTTGGCCTATTGTAATTAAAAATGCATATATGTTTGTTAAGTGTTGTGACATGTGCCAAGGAACAAGTCATATTTGAAGGAGATATGAGATACCTTTACAAAATATTCTTAAAACGGAAATATTTTACGTGTAACATCAATTTTATGAGGCATTGTCTCCCTCATTTGTGCACAAATATGTTCTAGTAATCATAGATTATGTGTCTAGATAGGTTGAGGATATGTCTCTTCTCACCAATAATACAAAATACATTATGAGTTTTATGAGAAAATCTCCGCAAGGTTTGAAAAAATGGTTAATGAATTCAGAAAAGATTGAAATGTAAAGGTATTATGAACCTACTAAACTACATACAAAATCACACAAGTATGTCTCCCTATCACTTACTTTATGGTAAAACTTGTCACTTGCTTGCAGAGTTAGAGCACAAGACATATTGGGTTATCAAGAAATTATCTTGAGCCCCCAAGTTAGCTGAAGCGAAAACACCAGTTTCATGAGCTTAAAGAATTTAGGCTACAAGTCAGAAGAGTTATCAATAGTGAAATCATTTATCCAGTTTGAAAAACATTGATCCTGTAATTTTGAGGGCGTGTAGGACACTCTTTGATAATGTGATCTTGTTGTTTATAGTATACAAAACTTCTTGCCACAATTGCTAGTAATATGATCATGTTCCTTGTAATTGTATCGTCCAATTTTATTCACTCTTGCCCATTCCTTTACCTTGAACAACAAATTATGCATAGTAATATCATTTTCTTGCTTAAAATCATTTTATGTGACAACACAATATCTTCACAAAGTAATTATCCAAAACAAACATACAAGAAAGGAGATGGGCCGTTCATCAAATTAAAGCGAACAATTTCAAATTTAAATTCATCAAAAGATGATCTCGCTTGCTTTCCTCATGAATTGTGACGAGAGATTCAACATGTATTTTGGCATAAATAATAACTATAAATCCAACATATAAATTCTAAAAAGAAACAACTTGAACAAAGAAACCTACTTGTGAGTAATGAGCAATTTCATGCTCTAATCGAAAGCGTCTTGCATTATTATCTTGATTGTAAACCTTTTGTAAATAATCTAATATTGCCTTAGCTATCATGTACAACATGAAATTAAGAACGATAGGAGGTTCAACTAACTCTAATATTTACATCATCATCTGAGTATCTTTAATCTTTCATTCACCTAACTCTGTAGGACTACTAGAAGCAGAATCACTTCCATCTATATGGCTTCACAATTCTTTTCCGATGATAATTATAATTATAATCATAATTAAAATTTCCATAAATAATATTTTATTCTAGTGAAACGAATATTGAATGATTCAAACTAATGTGAAGTCATGCTTTTGAATAGCTATAAAAACTAGAAGCATTGTGACTCAAGAAAACCACAAGATAACCAAGATCAAAAGCTCTAGAGATTTAGGACTGATTGTCCACAAACAGTCATCAAAATCAAACTTTTCAACAAATGTATTTTTTTTTTTAAAAACACATATGGACTCTATGGAACACGATAACCAACCGAAGACTCTAAACCCATATCAAATTTCTAATAGCGACTCTCAAATTGATAGTCTTGTCATTAAGTAAAAAAAATATTCATATAGCATCCCTAAAGATCAGCTATTCTATCCCTCCAGATCTATTATTCTATCATAATTTTTGTTCTCTTCAATTACTACATCATATCTGAATAATTTACACTTGGATAGAGCATTATTATAATTACATTAATACATACAATTATTCACTATTATTTCATTACTTGTGAGCTACCAATCATGCTAACAGGAGCTTCAAGGGGAAATGATTCAAGGGCCAACGATTTGAAAGCGACAGTAAATCAATAGGGTAAAAGATGACCATGATAAGGAAATTGTTTTATGTCTATTTCCAATTGAATTAGAGATGGTGCATTTGAAGCCATATAAACCAACATAAATGAAGTCTCTGGATATGACTTAACATCAAATGGGCTGCTGAAAACATGATATAGGACTACAGGAGGAACAACAACAACTTGATTGCACAACTGTGTAAATAATCAATATAAGCACAACAACGCACAAACAGGTTTCAATCTATTGCCAAGATTGAGCCATAACTTTGAATTATGCTCCTTCCTGCATCACAATCCATTATAGCAGAGACCATATCCTGATGTATCAATGATTTCAAGCCTACATGAGTTGCTTCATACATGAACTAGCACTTACACAATTTACATTCTTCCCTAAATGCATTAAGGTACACAAATCTTCACAAGTTCATCTCGCTTTTCCCATCTCTAGCATCCCAATAGCTTATAATACAAGCATTCACTATCAAGGGAAATTAATCTATTTCCTTACAACACAAATGAGCAATCATGACTTTACCACATAGGTCAATTTCAGGCCTTTTGAAGTAGCAATGCAAGGACATTCACCTACAATGCTTGTCCAGTTAGTAAGCTCTTCATATTTATCAGGGATTTATTAGAGAGATTTACGATGGAATCAGCAATAACTTTGGCACTGGATTTCATGTAACCGCCTGAAAATGTAATTAAAAAGATCAGTTACAGGTAACATATGGCATAATTCCACCAAAATGATTAAGCAAGGTGCGATAGAGACTAAGAGATGGGTTGACCTGATGTGAGCATGATGAGGGGGATGTTTCTCTCTCGAGCAAACCTGAAAACTTTTTCATCCCTACTAGCAATGCCATCAGGACTGATCTGCACGGCCATATATGTAATTAACAATGACAGTACATACAAAAGATTTGGCATAAACTCAGTACTCTTCCTTTTTTGGCACAGAAATGAAGAAGACTATATGGTCTGCAATTATATGAGGAATATATCTGGCAGCTTCATTCATATGCAATGTGTGCTGGGACTCTCCAAAAATGTTGCCCCATCAATGTCGGATTCTCCAAAAATGCACTATTTTGGAGGAATATGCACTCAATAACATTTTTGAAGTGTCCGTGCAACTTAGTTCTTACGGAAACTGAAACTGCTTCAATCAAACCAATAGTACTACTACACATTCAAGGCATGCACCTGTATTTGGCTACTTGACAGATTTGAAAAGAGGAGCATTATGGATATTTCACCTTTCTGTGACCAAGTTCTAGTAAAATTCAAAGACACAAATCCTTTAGGCCCGAGCAAATATCAATCATACTTTATATGATACATTTTCTATAATGAGACATACTAAGATGTTTACCACCATTTAATTATTTTATTTTTTGCAATTCACAATCAGGAATCCAAATTCATTTAAATAATCAAAAATATAAGCATCAAAGTATGACTTCTCCACCAAGCTAATATTCACCAATTACTCAACTATTTTCTCTACCACTTGTATACAAGTTGATCTAATATTTAAAATTACTTGTCCAGTAATGATGTCAGGTAAAATTAGACGGAAGGAATGTATGCCTACTGCATGTATGTTCCAGAATTCAGTTCTCAATTGTGTCTTATGCTTGGAGCAGAAATGGGATATCTCTTATCTTCACCCTATCTTTCAAGAGGAAAACATGTAGTTTATCCTTTTATATTTTGATTTAAAGGAAAAAAGATTACATTCTTCCATCCCAAAACTTATGATTATTTCTTGTTATAAAAACTCTTCCAATTAGCTGTATAAAAATGTTCAAGATTTTATAAGCTTATAATAATTAAAAAATCTAGAATTCCATCTCCTATGTGGCTATTCCGTAATGACAGACATGCAAGCCACAAATAGCTTGTTTCCCATCGGTGGGTCGTACCTTCAACCTGCCAAGTGGATCCCCATCCAAGATATCAGTACCAGCATTATAAACAATGAAATCAGGATCAAATTTCTTCTCTGCAACCTGGAAGTCCATCAGGATAACAATCAGTCATGTATACAAGGTAACTCAACACAATAGCAGAGAACTCACAATGAAACAAAAAGTATCTTTTAAATACGTCTGAATGTTATTGACAAATAAAAAAACATAGAAGAATCAGTAAACAGAGGCATAAATGCTTTTATATCAAATGATTCCTTTACAACAAAGAAGCACACACACACTTCACAGAGTATGGTTTTATGTCAAAGCTCCAAAGATATTCATCCCACTGCACAAAAGCGAATATCTTTTTTACACAGTATTATAGGAATAAAACCAAGATTTTGACTCCTTTTTTTTTACAGAATAGTAACAGTATATTCATCAGTAAGGAAATGCTAGACGCCATATTCACAATGTAGATTTAACAAAAGGATAACCTTGTTCTTCTTACAAGGCTGCTACAAGGCTCCTAAAAAATCTAGTAAAGATTTGGCAACTCTACATATCTTTCTTTACACCAAAAATATAACTGTACTCAGTTCATAAGGAAGCTTTTGATTATTCATGATGCACTTTTCGATACCTTTAAGGGTTTCTTTGTTCCACCGACTCCATCTCAACCAAAAAGCAAAGAGCTACGCTCCACAAGCATTCTTCCTAGAGAGTTCTAAGCGATTCCAATAACACTAGATATTGCAGAATTAATTCATAGAAAATCGTTGTGGTTTTTCTAAGACTGGATTGTAGAATTTGTGCCAAGAGCAATGGTCAGAACCAAGGTACATTAGTTCCTGACGCAATCAATTCACCAAAACAAATTAAGGTATTAGTGACAATGTTGACATAATAATCTGCAACTTCACTAGTAAACTATTTGCAGCGTTTCTAACTGTAGCCATCTAACAAATGAACATATGGAACTTTTGCAATGATAGGAAGAAATTAAACATTTCAATTAACCAAAACAAATATTGCTTTTATGTCAGAAGATAGTACAAAACACAAAATGGAGGATTTGAGTTCAAATAAAGTTAAAAAGTTGCCGTTGCATCACTTTCTAGATCAGCACCAGAGAAAACCCATCGATCATTATACAGCTACATACATAAAAAACCAAATATTTCCGCTCCATTGATCCTTGGAAAATCCTCCTCATTTAGAGCAAACAATAAAATTTACAACTGCTGAGTTCACATGAGGACTTAAAATTAAACAGTAACCAATTAGAGCTAGAATGCTAGGACAGGTCACCAGCACATGGGCAAAACAAAGTTCTGCAAGTGTCTAACTTGCAACAATGAGTTGCACTATTGAGTAAAAGAAGATATGTGGAAAGTGGTGACAAAAAGTCTAAGTACACACCTCCAGTGCATGATCTAGCTTAGTTAAGTATTCATCTGTCGCAGTCCCACTCTGCCAAAGTTAGTAGCCACAGATGTCAGCGTAGTTCGAGTAAAGAAGTAACTTGTTTTATGGACTTGAATCTAACCTTAACTTCGACTCCTAGATCAATGTAACGCCTGGCTTCAAAATCCTAAAAGAAATAGAATAGATTCACAACAGATCTGATCAGACACTGCTACCTTTCGATGCTATCAGCGCAATTGAAAGAGAATCATAAATCAACAGACAACTGTTTGGGTAAGGGGTGGGGCATGTGAGAAACAAGGAAAGGAGAGGAAAGTAACTTTTCATTCAAGATGGAAACTCACAAGTGGATAAATTCCGGGATTGTACATATCAAGGATAAAGACTCTTTCTGCATGCATCCAACCAACACCAATTAATAATATTAAAATGGCACACAAAATGCAAGATGAATGACGAGAAACATACTGTCATCAGAGAAGTCCATTTCATGGCCGTTTCCTTGGTGTGCATCAAGGTCAATTATCATGACTCTACAAGAAAAACGTTCATTAATGATTTCATTGAGATGTCATGACCTTCAACTGTACATAGCCACACATTATACATGAATTACCATTCGATGTACCTTGAGATATTTAGACGCACAAATGCAAAATGTATACAAAGAGATATATCAGCATAAACACAAAAACCGCCTCCCTTCTCTGATGAGCAATGATGGAATCCACCACCAACATTAATAGCCCATCCTCGTTCTTTTGCAAGCTTTGCAGCCAAAATTGTTCCTCCCACCTTCAGAGAATTATCAACAAAATCTGAACCAGAGAATTAGGAAAAATAAAATGATCTGCAAATGACTAAATTCACCTGCTTGCGGAATGGGTGAAGCACTTTCTTTTGCACAAGGCAATTAGGAAGCATCGCAACAGGAGGGACCTAAAAGGTCTAGTCATGAGATAATAAAGAGTATGGAAACAAGAAAACCAACTCTTAATGTGTAACAACAGGTATGATTCTGCACCTACACCGACAGCAGCAAACATCAGTTCTGACTCTTACCTCAACAATCATGGAGACATTCAAGCTGCTGTTCAAACTTTTCAGGTATGACTCAGAATGCACCTACACCAGAAATGTATCAGTCACCCATCAACATTGCCAGGTACAGGACAGTCCGTATCAATGCTAGTCCCACTGACTACAGTTGACAGATAAGTAGAGTTACAGCACCTAGATTGGAAAAGAGAAAAAGAGCATCCTAAAGTGACTAGTAAATTCGGTACATGCAAGAAAAGTGTAAGTGGATGTGTTGTAAGTACAAGGCTTCCAAAGTAATTATTTCAAATAGTGATCCTCAAAACTTATATAAAGTGAACCAAGTAACTGGTGGATGGAATCAGAATATCATATATGATGGTATCTAGGTTTAGTTGAATCATGAATGGAGGTGATTATAACTTAGATACCAAAGCTACTGATACCGTGCTCCTCAGAAATTGTCAGTTCATTGAGTTGATTAAACTAGCCCACAAAGGTGCAAGAACGAAGAATACATGAATGTGCTCAGTGGAGATAAAGTGAAAGAGCATGCTTCAAATTGACTCAACCAACTGTTCGAAAAACAATACAAAAGGATTTAATAACTCAATAAATCACTATGATGCTTTTAACCAGTAGAAGTTGCTACCACTAGCAGATCATCTTTTGTTGCCTCCACAGGCTCAACTACATGCTTTTGGTCCATGATACCTTCCTTAGTGAGAAACCGACAGATTCGACCCCATTTCGAAGAGTCAAATGGATGCCTGTGAAGTTAAATTCTTGTATGAGGTATCCAGTTAAATTCAAACCTAGATAAGGCAGCAGCTCTTTTAGAATAATCATAATATCTTTTTAGAAGGAAAACTAATAGACACTGCTCCCTCAGAAAATAATAAACTAGATAGAAATTCAGCACTGCAAACAAGGATAACTCACCTGACCTGCAGGGAATGCAAGGTATAGACGTGAGGCCCTTGCCATTTTGTCAAACCCATGCCCTTCATATGTAAGTGCTAATATCTCTATTCTCAAGTTTTCACCCCCTACCCCCACATGTCCTTAATAAAATTCTCTTCCAGAGGCAAGCGAGAGTTTGGGGGAGGAGAGGTTTTAGGTTGTTTGTTGATGAGTGACACAATGTTTTAGTTTCAATAATGCATATTTATACCTTTCAAAGGTGCCTTTGGCTGAGAAATGGTAGAGATAAAATTCACACAAAAAGTGAAAAATCAGTGGGAGAAGTGATGTTTGGCTTCAAATTGAAGCAAAGAAAAATATCAAAACCATGATTCCAGTCCTCTCTAACCATTTCCATTTTACAGGATGGAAGAAAAGAAGGTTACGAAAAAAAAACTAAACTAAAGAAACAGAAGCTCTACATAGTGACAGCATTATACAATGTATACACCAGATGAATGCTGTCACATCTGGGTGTTCAGCATATAGTTATCACGACTGAATGAGTAAAAGAAAAGATCGCATGATATGATTGTAGACATTGAAATTTGTTGCAAGCAATGATTATCACATATCCTCTAAAATCACTTGTCTTGTCCATAAGTGTGACTATATGATAATTATGACGATTAATTGTGATAAAAAGAGACAAGGTAGAGATGATATCACATTAAGGGAAGTTATATCTAGTAATGTACAAACTCTTGGAATTAATACGGATATAACTAATCAGTGTAATCAAAGGTGAAAAGCGCAAAAAAGCTCTCAGGTCCGTGGGGGCTTTAAGCGCAAAGAAGCTCTAAGGTCAATGGGGGCTTTAAGCGCAAAGCGCAAATAAAGTGTGGGCTTTAATGAAAAAAGCGCAAAGGGAGAAAAAAATACAAATGTATATGTTTAGTCCAAGACTAATAATTATAAACATGAATGAAAAATATAAGACCAAAGAAATTGAATTTTTTTTATGATAAAGTGAAATATCAATTGTTTAGTGTCACTTCTTCATAAGAGGCTCATTGGCAAGGAAAATTTTGTCTTAGAACCTTGATGACGACACTAAAGCGCACATAAAGCAAGGCGAAGCGCTATACACATTTTGAGCCTCGCTTCAGGGCTTAAGCGTGCCTTCGATAACACTGTAACTAATAAAGAACATACTGAAAGAACTGACTCATACACGCAACAAACTCTCGTAAGAAAAATTGTTTAGTGTTGATTGCAATGGACTTAACCAGCAAAGACGGAATGTATCTGGATTAAATATAGAGATACTGTTCATTCAGTTTGGGGTCAACTATACTTGTGTTATCTCTTCTCCTTTATTTATCCCCTATTACACTCCTTTTGACCTTTCATAACATTAAAATTTTCTTCCACTCAGGTACATAGATTAATTTCCAACAAATTTGCATAATTTAAGGCTCCCTTTCTCATATTGTCATGATTTACCAGGAACAGATGTCAATCCATTCCAATCACTAGCAAATGCAAATTGACATTCAAGGCTACACACCTTAGACCTAACCAGTTTTAGTACTTCTATTGCATTTCTAGAATTTCACCAATTATTTTCTCTTATCCAAAACTACACACCTTAGACCTAACCATTCCTAGAACTTTACTCAAATATGCTTCCCTTTTTAGGTATAGATAGCAATGATAGTCAACAAATTTCATTCTGAAAGGTAGCGTAAACAGCAGTAATTCTTACAGTTTTTCAATCCCGAAAAAAGCAATGTCGTAGGATGGCGAGTATATCAACGGAACCTGATCGAACAAAAAAACAAAATTAACACCAGAGAGATTCCTCAAAAAATTACTTCAAAAATTAAAGGCGAGCATGTTTGGGTTGTACCTTAGAAGGAGGCACATCGTAATATAGGTGGCTAGAAAGAATACGATGACGGCGTAGAGCTTCAGCGTCGTCAGTTTTGGAGGAAGAGGCTGTGGACGACATCGGGTGAGAGGCAGAGAGGAGAGGAAAGTTGCAGAAAGTGAAGCGATTGAGATATTGAGCAGCTTTGATGGCGATGGAGTGAGAGAATCACAAGGTTGAGTGTTGACTCTGCTGAAATGTAACAAGTATGTAATCTCTGTATATACTCACAACGGAGCTTTGACATCTGCCATGAGTTGTTGAAGGACCTGGACAAGATTTTTTTAACTTATCCATCTTCTAAATAGTTTGATCAAGATAACTAATGAGACTCAAGTTAAAAGAATTTTGTTGATCAAAGATAACCCTCTCCAATCACAACTCACAAGGTTGTATCTTCTTAAAAACAAACTCACATACAAGCAAGTATATACATATGCCTGTTATAAAATGAAGATAATAAATTGAAATCAACAAGAGTAATATAGAGAGACAGAGTAATAGTAGTAGTAGCTTTCTTTTATTATTAAACTAGATAATGTTGCCCGTGCTATGCACGGGCCCAATAATATAAATGGTATATTTTGGGGCTAATAACCGAGTTTTTGAAGCTATTGTTTGCGTGGATAAAGGAATAAGTTTTTTTATCACAAATCTGTACTTTCTTTGACGCTATTTAAGGCATAATAAGACTACCCACATACAACATTTTTGAAATATTTTATGTTGTCAATTATCATGATTTATAGTATTTTTACGCAATTTTTAAATATAAAAAAAAATAAAAATAAGACAAATAAATTAAAATGGACCCAATATATGTTATTTTTGTTGTCTCAATTTATGTGACACAAATGAAATTTGGA